AATAACTGGATTTATTCAGGAACCGATATAATGTTTCGGTCGGTAATTCGAACAACCATGAATTGCACTTTGTTAATCTAGTGGATAATGCTTATACTCAGAGCCGCTGTACAGTGCTTACTGAGTACGCTATTACTGCTTTGAAGCAGATTATCGAAGAAGATACGAATGAGTCCATCTATTGAGAGGTGCACCAATTGGAGTTGTGCTCATTCACTTTTCAGAGGATTTTACGAAAGGATTTTGGTTTGCGAGCTTTCAAAATCTAACTCGTGCTATCGCGTTGTTTGTTCAGTGTGAACGGGCCCAAAATTAGATGTCCACTGATCTCGATTTTCCCAAGAAAATTGTGGTCATCGATGAAGCTCGCACTTGGTTGAAAGGTGCGTAAATAAAAAAATTGTCGTACTCGTATTTGAAGTGATGATAATCCTTAAGTCACTTTTGAAATGCCATTATATACATAATTGGCGCTTTGTAACCGCTGAAGCGATTTTCGGCCGAGCTTCTCGTCTAATTTGTGGTTTTGCATCTTGTTGTTTTTCCAACAAATGGACGGACCTACAGTTCATACTTCGAATGGGTGATGGTGTTTTTACGAGGAGCCTTTATTTCATGACAGAAATACTCTTTGAGAGGCGAGCGAAACAAAATTTTGCTTAGTTTTTTATTTAAAATAATTTTTCATAACTTAGAGTGTTCTTTTTTTGAAGAAACTAATCTAGAAGTTGAGGGGAAAAGAAATACTTGAATAAATTTTAGTTCATCTTCTCGGGTCTCACAGCCTAGGTATACTTGAGGAGCTTGCCGAGGTTTCCAACTCTGCATGTATAATATCCGCTGGATAGAGGGAAATCCAACTGGAAGACTTCAGAGTATTGATTGCATAAAGTAGATGTTTCCCTAAAGAGTGAGTCTGGGAAGTAATAAACCCGAAATCAGTAAAAGGAAAAGATCGTCATGGCGGTACTTCTCTGAAAACTTAAATGAAAGGCATGAATCCTTTAGACTTAATTAGAATTCTAGCTATAAACTATAATTAGAAAATGTATGAGGTGTAAAATTAAATAACAAGCCATGAAAAGCGACTGAGGGTTTCTAAGGAAATCTCGAAAGTAGAAAGAGATATGGAAAACGCGGCTTTCAGGCACCTTCGGAGTGACCGTCGCTTGACGTCGCTATAAACTCGCTGAAACAAGCGCAGCTACAGAAAGCTGCTGAAGTGTCGCGCAGACGTCTTACTCCTCTTTTAAGGAACTATATGATTCCCAGATCATTCAAGGATAACTTCGCTGGTGATCTCTAACTACTTTGGACCAATTCGTCTATTATTCTTGCTATTGAAATTTCTAGAAGGACTCAGGATTGATTGACTCATACACGTCAAAAGTGTAAGCCCCCCGGGAGTATCTTTCGAGGACGCAGCATATTTACTGCAAAGCTATGTCGGTGAACCCGGCATTATATACTCTTGTTATATAGTTGGAGAAAACACTCCATCACAAGGATTTTGCTCGACACTGGTAGAACATTTAATAGCGTTCTGCTGAAAGCTATAAAAGTCTCCTTGCACAGCGTTAGATTAAGATCTAATCTAATACGTTTCAACTCTATTTTTGATGTGACATACCCAATTGGGAAATTCACGCTTTGAGGAAGAAGTTAATGGGGACACTCCGAATATTGGCTTTTACCGACATGCTCTAGAAGCTGATTAATGTTTGGTGCAAGGCGAGATTATTTTGTCCTCGTGGTCAGTAGCAATTTTTTAAGTACTCTGTCTGACCTCAAAACACGGCCACCCGTGTTGGGTAACGAGTTGGGTAAGCAGAAGTAGTCTCGCCGTAAGTCTCAGTAATGCGGAACTTAACTCGTTCACCGAGTGGCCTCAGATATCCTTGCTAAGCGATGTTCACCTTCATTTATCCGAGGAAGTGAAGTACTTGAGGTGAGGACAATCTTAGACAGGAAACTGTTCCGTGGTGATAAATATTTTTAATATTTTTTCCGTTTTTTAATTATTTCAAAAATACGGACTCACGGAAAAATTCATGGAATAGCTTTGAGTAATGGTTTTACTGTTGTTTGGTTTAATTATATTTTTTTTTAACTTTATTTTACATATTGGAAAATCCCATAATAAAAAGTGGGAAAATTAAAAATATCGAAAAAGTAATAACAAAGCCACACCATAAAGTGATATGAAATGATAATAATAATTATATTATAGCAAGTTATTTGCGAATTTCGTTAGACGACAATACAAAGCAATAAACAACAAAACCAACAAATAACGATCAGGTCACGATTAGCAATAGAACGAATCTTTTTGTCGAATTCCCCAAGTATTATTTAGCAAAATTGCATTTAAATACACCATGTTGGGTAACAAATTGTAAAATACAATGGAGTATAGCTAAAATAATATATGTGAATATGTTTGTATATATGTTCGCATATATGTGTGTATGTATATGTGCTTATCTCGCTTGCATAGGCGACAAATAATGTCAAAAGCAAAATGGGCAAAATACCAAATAGCAATAACAAGATATTTCAGTAGTAGTAATAGCAACAAATATTAAGTAGATAATAACAGAAACAGTAACAACAACAACAACAACAACAACAACAACAACAACAACAACAACAGCAACAAAGGTAACGATACAAATGATAATAACAATAACAAATAACTATTAAGGCAGCGGCAGCAAAGCGCAGAGCAGCTGTTGCCAAAATTTTAGGCAACAATAAAATCTCCATTGCCATTGTTGTTGTACTAGTTGTAGTTGTTGCTAATAATTTGCATTGTCGCTGTTGTCAATATTGCTGTTGCAACTATGTGTCATTTATCGTTGTTGATCATTTATTGTTTATTTGTTGTTGTTTGCTGTTGCTGTTGTTGGCCATGCACTTGTTGTTGTTATTGTATTAAATATCTTGCTTACACTGCAAATTTGCCATATTGCATTATGCCGGTTAAAAAGATGAAATACCACAAATACTAGAAGGCTTGACTTTCATTATGGTTTGTTTGTTGCTGGTTTATGGATATCGGTGTTTTTGTACTTTGTTTGTTGTTGCCTGTGCGTGTGGGGTGGCACATTACAATATGCAAATGTGTGTATGTATGATACGCTGTGACATTAACATAAAACAATAGAAAATTATTAGTAAATGTATGAAAGGCAACAAGAACAACAACAAACGTTTTCAACAATAACAATAACAACAAAAGCACACCGCTTCAACAATAACAATAACATTAACTACAATTACAATAGGAATTACAATGCACTTTAAATTGCTTTGGTTGAGTTTGGAAATTTTGTCGTAGGAGAGGCAGTCGCCAAGCAGCTTTTTGTTGCACAACCTTTATGTAATTGTAGGTTTTAATGTTGTTTGAAGCGATTCGCGTTAAAGTTCGTGTAAGTCAGCCAACTACCATTGATATTCGGAGCCTTTTAGAAAGCTCCTCCGCTATGTTCGTATTCTAAGCCTAGCGCTGGAGAATCAATAACCAAATTGACAAACAGAATGAATACGAACTTTCATGATGTGACATACCTAAACTGGCCATAATCGTTAGGTGGATTTCTCCATCCGATTTATTTTTATTTTATTTTATTTTATTTTATTTTATTTTATTTTATTTTATTTTATTTTATTTTATTTTATTTTATTTTATTTTATTTATTTATTTATATGATTGAACTTTGTTTAGTTCTATTTTTTTACTCTCTTTTCTTTTATTTTATTCTCATTTATTCTATTTCATTTTGACTTTTTTAATTTATTTCATTTTAATTTTTTTTCATATTTTTTACTCTCTTTTACTTTTTTTATTTAATTTTGTTTTACTTAATCTTCCTTTATTTTACTTTAATTTTATTTAAGTTTTTTATTTTACTTTATTTTTTTATTTCATATCATTTTATTTTGTTTTATTTCATGCTTTCTTATTTTATTTTATTTATTTCATATTATTTTATTTTATTTTATGTTATTGTATTTTAATTTTTTTTTTTTAAATCTATTTTCTTCCATTTTATTTTATTTTTATTATTTTTGTTTTTCTATTTTATTTTTTAATATATTTTATTTATAGAATGTAATTTAATTTTATTTGATTTTTTATTTTACTTTATTTTAATTTAGTTTATTTTATATTTTTTTATTTTATTTCTCTTTATTCCATTTAATTCTATGTTACTTATATCATTTTATATAATTATATTTTAAATATTTTAATTCTATTTTATTTTTTTCTATTTTTTCATTTTTTTATATTTAAATCTATTTTAAATTAATATATTTTATCTTATTTTAGTTTACATTTTTTACATTATTTTATTTTGCTTTATTTTTTTCTATATTATTAAATATAATTTAATTGAATTTCGTTTTATATTATTTTATTTTATTAATTTTACTGTAGTTTGTTTTATTTATTTCATTTTTTTAAGTTTTGTTACTCTCTTTTAATTTTTTTTTAATTTATTACATTTATTTAGTTTAGTCTAATTTTTCTTAATTTATTTTTATTTTATTTGATTTTTATTTTATTTTCTTATGTATTTTTTATTTTATTTTATTTTGCTTAGTTTTACTTTTTTTTTAATTCAGCTTATTTTATATGTTTTTATTTTATTTTACTTTATTGTTTAATTTTGTTTTACTTAAAATTATTTTATTAAACTTTATTTTAAATTTTTTAATTTTTTATTAATTCTATTTGATTTTATGTTTTTCATATTTTTATAAATTATATATAAATTTATTTTTTTTATTTTGCTTTATTTTATTCGTTATTATTTTATTTTAATTTACATTACTTTATTTTATTTTTTTACTTTTTTTTTTTATTTTATATATAGTTTTTATTTTATTTTACTGTGCTTTATTTGATTCGATATTGTTTTATTTTATTTTGTTTTATTTATTTTACTTTATATACATATTTTTTTTATTAATAATTCAGAAATCAATTCACTTACCGCTCAGTGAATTATGCCCACAGCCAGGCGTTTTACCCAGCAGATAATCGTCTTTGCAGATAAATTTATTGTCGTCCAGCACATAAAGTTGTTCACCAGTGCTGAGCTGTTTGCGGCAGATGCAACATGTAAAGCAATTGAGGTGGAATACTTTATCGCGTGGCTTACGCACGAGATCGGAGGGAGCGATGCCTTGACCGCAGCCACTGCATTTTGTGCCATAACGCCTATGGGAAGAAAAAAAATATTAGAAGGCATTTTTAACAACAAAAATAAAACGGTACCTATTTAATTTTTTATTATTATTATGATATACTTTAAGGAAGATGAAACTGTATTTAATAAAATTCTATATTAAATTCGCATCCTCTAGTGGATGAATGTAAGGTAATACAATAACTGGCCTAATGATCCAATCTGATTATACATAAATCTTAAAATACAATTTTACAAGAATATATGGACACACATTATTATAAAATCATTTCTTTTAAATCATATACATAATATATACATATATATATATATCAATATATTTTTACGTTTTTCTTCCTTTTTTATTTTTGCCTTTTTATTTTTATTTAGTACAAACATATATGTATATACCTGCAGCAGTGCATAATAAAATTTTGAAAACAATAAGGAATGACGTGACCTACAAAGGATAACAGTTTATTCTTACATATATATTGATTTATAGTGAATACTTCGCAATTAAATTGATTTATACCGTCAGCATAGAAATTTCAATTCCATAATAAAAGTGATTTCCACAGAAAAAGTTGGAAAAAACCCAAATGAAATTATAAAGGCTTTAACCGCAAAAATTCTATTCGTGTTAACACTTACTCACTCTACAACCCAGCTTCCACCACTAAACACATCAAAGCATCATAACATCAATTCACTTGAAATCAAAGCTAAATCAAATGCAGTTGAGTCGTATTTAAGCGCAACAAAAGCCAATGAAGGGAAAATAAAGTAGAGGAAAAGAAAGCAAGAGTACGAAAAAATAACGGTCTGTTTGCGAAATGACGGTTGAAGTGCGAAAAAAGAAAATCTTTGAATACAAAAAAAATGATTGACTGTATGTGATTGTGTAAATCACATTTTAATTGAAGCGAAATGCAAATGAAATTGATTTAATAGTAGAAAAAAATAAAAAAATAATAAAGTGTAAAAAAAAAAAATAATCAAAATAAAAAACATAAGTACAGCTAGGACAAAAGTTAGTAGTTGAAGGAGATTTGTATATGTGCATGTATGTTTGTATGTATTGTGATTGGAATTACTGCCGTCTCTCAATTACAGTCGGGGAAAAAATTCAAAAAGTACATAGAAGCAATATAAAAATCAATGTTGGTAATAAATGCATACATGCATATATATGGAAGTACGAGTATGCACAAATAAAATGCCACCACATGTCAGAATCATTGCTCATTGCCACCATATACTCTTGCCTTATCACAAAAGCCATTCCACCAATGGCAGGAGTATCGCCATACAATATCTTTACACAATTGTTGACTACTGCATATATACATACATAGGTACATAGATACATTAGTACTTCTGTGTGTTCGTATATAAACATATGCAGTGATTTACAGCGATTGCAGCGATTGACTGCCACATTGATGAAGTGACTAATGGCGGTCGCTGTCACATGGCAGCTGCCGAAGTGTCAGGCGATCAATGATTTTGTATGTGTAAAAAGGATGAATAAATGGAATTTCCAATATGTAGAATTACAAAGTGAAACAAAAAAAGCAAAATAAAAAATGCGAAAATGGGAAATGAGAAAGCAGAAGTTGGTGGCAAATAATTTAAGGAGTTGTCTATTAAAGCGTCTTGCGAAATATGCTGTGGAAATATTATGCTTGTACTTTTGTTTAATTTTTGGTATTTTAGTTTAATTTTAATTTTTATTGGCATAATTTCAATTTTACCTTTAATTATATTTTCAATATAATTTTCAAATTTTTTTTTAATTTAAACAAATTTCTAGCGTTTCATTTATTGCTTTGCTACTTCATCAGTATTACATATATACTATCACTATTCTTGTAGTTTTAAACATTTAAATATTTATTTGTTTTATTATTTATTTAACTTATTTATTTGATGTACATAAAAATTTTCATTCCAAAGATTGGTTTTTTATTTCTAGTTATTTTATATGTACCTCTCAATTTTTTATTAATTTATTTTATTAATTTTTATTTTTTTTTTTGCACACAAATATCAACAATTTTAATTTTATACACTCTTTTACTTACCTAAAAAAATCATTCCTACAATATAATTTCGATTCTCTACTAAAGCATTTTTCCGTTAACGGTTGAAGGCATTCACAGCAACGTACGCAGGATGCATGCCATCCGCGTTCAAGGACATTTAATAAAAATTTATCTAATATTGGTTTATTACAACCCGCACACGGATCACCAATACCAACGGGCGGTTCACTGCGTCCTGAAAGAGAAGAAAGAAGAAATATGCGGTGAGAAAAATGTTATAAGCGCAGGTAAAAATTGATATTGGAAAGTTTAGTAAACAAAAATTAAATAAATTTAAATTAAATATAGCACATTAAAGTGAAAATATAAATAAATTTCAAAAATTAATTTTAATACAATATATTAAACCAAAATGAAATAAAATGATATTAAAAAATTAAAAAGAATAAATAAAAATTAATTAAACAACATAAAGTAAAAATAATATAAAATTTTGTTAAATAAATTAAAAAATAATTAAGTAAAAATAATAATAATACATGTCTTAGTTCATATATTTTTTCTAAATGAAATATAAGAAGATAGAATGAAAAAAATTAAAATACAATGAAAAAACAACTGAAATAAAATGATGTAATCTAAAATAAAATAAAAAATTAAATTAAATTAAAATAGTATTAAGTTAAACGTAATAATTTAAAAATAAAAAAGGTACAAAAAAATAATAAAGTGCAATTTATAATTAAAATAATAAAAAAGTTTATTAATAAAATAAATGATATACATAAAATATAATAAAGTAATATTATATAAAATAAAATGAAAATCTGTTTAAGGGAGCTGAAAAAAAAATAAAATATAACATAATATTATTAATTAAAAGAACTTAAACTGTAGAAAATAAAATAAAATATAATATAATCTAATATAATAATAAAAAATAAAAAAAATTTAAAAATATATAGAAATATCAAATAATGTAAATTAAAATGGAACAAATTCATATATGAAATTAAATTAAACAAAATTAAGCTCGATCCCATAAACAAAATATAATTTAATATAATATAATAATAAAAAAATAAACTGTAGAAAATAAAATAAAATATAATATTATATGATAAAAAATAAATTAAACTGTGGAAATTAAAATAAAATAAAATGTAATCTAATATAATAATAAATAATAAAAAATGAATTTAAAAAAAATTTAGAAATATGTTATAATCTAAATTAAAATGGAACTAATTCATATATGAAACTAAATTAAATAAAATTAAACTCAATCCTATAAAATTTCATAAAATATTTAATAAATCAATATTATGAACTTTATTAAAAACCAAATAAAACCTAATTGAAAAAATATTAAAATATAAATTAAAAAATTCGAAATAATATAATAAGAATATTATAATAAATTAAAGCAATGAAATAAGAAATGAGAAATCGGAGAAAAAGAAATTTAATAATAAATCATAATATGTTGTTAAATAAAACATTAAAATTCGTAAGAAGAAATCACTTGTAAAATAATTCAAAAGAATTCATTAAAAAACATAACAAATGCAAATAGTAAAACTAGTTGAATTGCATGAAAATAGAAAAAATTAAAACACCTTAACTAATAAAGAAACCAATTAACCATCAAAAAACAGAATTAAACATGAAAAATGTATATAAAAAATAATTGAATGACATAGGACATAATAAAATAAAATGATTCAAATAAAATACAGCAAAGTAAAATAAAATATATAAATTAAAGCAAAACATATTTAAATGAAAAAAAATTAAAAATGAACCAAGTAAAACAAAATAAGACTAAATGCAGCAAAATAATATTTAATTTTAATTATATAAAAAATTAATTTTAAATAAAATAAAGTTAAATTGAATAAAATTTAGTAAAGTTATAAAAAATTAATTTTTTATTATTAAAATAGCGTAAAATAATATAAAGTAACTTAAAAAAAAAAATAGAAAATAAAAAAATAAAATGGAAAACACTAAAAAAAATACATCAAATTAAGTTAAATTGAATAAAATAAAATGAATTTTCCAAAAATGAGCAATTTTAAGAAGTTAAACGGAAGTGAAAAGATGAAACAAAGTTAAAAATGGTAGAAAAATAAAATACAAATTAAGGCCAAAACAATTAAAAAATAAAAGAAAATGACGTTTTTCTACATTTTCCCATGCACTAAGTCCTTAATATTATACTACAGACTCGTATATATAATATTCTTTCATTTCATTTCAATTCACTTAAATATTCCAAATCATAGCAAATCTCACTAAAACCTCTTATGAAATTACTTAAAGTGCAGTTTCCTTAAAGAAAATTGCTTTTCGTGCATGTCCAAGTAATTTTCGTTAATAGCTTTAAATGCTTATGAAATCTTTGTCTTTAATTTATAAATCTTTAATAAATTTTTGCACTCGAAAAACATTTAAATGCCCAGACTATTACTTTTGAATGATGTTAAATGCGGAAACTTTACTGCTGCAATGCACACATGTTAGCTTGTGTGATTGTGTGCATTAGCCAACACATAAAACTAACGCAAACATACATATTTAAGTATGTCAGAAAACCCTCCTTCCTTCCTCTTCTCTTGCGAACACCACCCACTCACTCACATGAATTACAAGAAACTATTAACCGAAGATTCTGATATGGAAACATACGAAAGTATGCTCATTTGCACATACATATGTATGTATGCATGCCCGTGTGAGAGTGTGTGCTTGTGAATGTGTGTTTGAAATAAGTGAGGCGAGTGAACATTTACAATCCGTTTTACGTTTTGAGGGCAAATTTAGCACCTAAACTCATTAAGTTTGCACAATTCAACTAATTCCGCATGCAACACCATACACAAACAATCACACAAAAGTGCATATATACACGCACATGTATGAATGTGTGAGTGCGGTTGTTGTTAAAACAAAAACATTGAATTTTGTGTGGAAAAAAGTTGAGAGCAATAAAATGAGCAAACGTTGTGATGTCAAAACAACATCATTAACGCTATTAGCAACAAAAACAAAGACAAAAACAGCTTAAATTAAATATGCACATACATAGATACACGCACGCACGCATGCGCCACCGACTCACTAATTAAAGTGCCCAACTTACGACTTAATAGCCAACCAAACAACCACTCAGCTGAGCTACCACCTGCAACATGGAGTTGATCTTTTTGCTGGCGAATCTTTTTAGCAAACGATTTCTCTTTCTTTGTCCCCCCGTTTTTGCTGCCATTAAATACGCAAATTTTTGCCTTTTCAATTTTATTCACATGCAATCAAGTGGCGGCATGTACAATAAATACCCACACTTACTCGTATGTCAGCAAGAGTTTTGCAATATTTGTTCGCTTTTTCTGCATTTTGTGTTGATAATTGCTTTGCATGCACGCAATGCACAGTGCGAGTAACACATACTTGCAACAGACTCCGCTCAGCTGTGCTGTGGCACGCGCTTCGGCAGGAGTGTCGCCGGGGCGGAGTAAACGTACAATACAAACGTTTAATTTGCCTTAAAGCCAAATTATTTGTTAGATGGTCAAGGCGTTGATGGGCTTGTATGGCTGTGGCTGGGCACTTAGCTAGTTGGTGTTGAAGGATCTCTATTAAGTTTGGTAAATTTGGTAGGTAACCAATTGGAAGGGAATTAGGTAATGAGTTGTATTTAGAGTTTTGTGTAGAAAAACACAACAAAAAGGTGTTAGGTGTTTAGCAACTCATCAAATTAAATACAGCTTTGCTTTGGACAATGCAGATGCTCGTTTAGCATTTACGGTCCCCTACAAATAAAAATAAGAATAAATAATTAACTAAAACAAAATAAAATTAATTTAAATTAAAAATAATAAACTAAAATAAATTAAAATAAATTGATATAAAGTAAAATGAAATAAAAAATATACCATTTTGAGATGTAAAGAAATAAAAAAATTGAATATATAAACTGAAATATAATAAAATTTGAAAATAAAAAAAATAAAATAAATACAATGAGAAGGAAGTAAAATAAAACAAAGTAAAAACTTAAATGAAATGAAATAAAATAAANATATAAAATAAAATAAAAAATGAAATGAAATGAAATAAAATATAATAAATAAAATACAACAATATTAACTAAATTAAACAAAATAAAATACATAAAAAAATTATAAGATTTTATATACAATAAAAACAAAATATGGAAATTATATAAAAAAAATACAAGAAGGAATAAAACGTATAAAAAAAGCAAAACAAAAAAATAATAGAAAAAAATTATATAATTAAAATTAAAAAATTAATTTAATTGAACAAAATAATAATAAGAAATAAAGTAACACATTTTAAACTAAATCAAATTGCTTAAAAAAAAATATCCCAATATAAAATTAAATGAATTGATATAAAAAACGTTAAATTAAAAAGAATGAAATAAAAAACTTCAAGTAAAACAAAGTTATAATTAATTAAAAAATTGAAATAGAGTTAACTTTAATAAAAAGAACTGGAATTTTAGAAAAAAAAACAAAATGAAATTAAAATATAAATTGTAAAATGATTAAAAAAAATAAAATAAATAGAATTCAAAAATTTAATCAATAAATTTTACATAAAATCAAAAGAAGTAAAACTAAATGACGCAAAATCAAATCAAATACAAATAAGTTTAAATTACATTATATAAAATATTATGAACTAAAAAATAAATTTTTAGTAAAATTGAATAAAAAAATAAAATAAATAAACCTAAAATGAAATAAAAGTTAATAAAGAAAAAATATATAAAATAATTGAATTAAAAAAACAAAAAAAATTATTGGGCAATTAATTAAAACAAAATAAAACTAAAAAATAAGATAAAATAAAAAAAAAGAAATAACATAAATCAATTGAAAATAAAATAAAATAAATGAATTAAAAGATATAAAAATGAAAAAAATAAATAAAATAAAACGGAATCAGGAAATTGATTTAAAATAAAATAAACTAAATATTACTAAAAAATAAAATAAAATAAAATGAAATAACGTAAATTAACTGAAAATAAATTAAAATGATATAAAATCAATTTAAGTAAAACTAAATGACGCAAAATCAAATGAAATAAAAATAAATTTAAATTAAATTATAAAAAATTTTATAAAATATAAAATAATATTAGATTTGTATAAAATAAAATAAAAAATATATGTGTAATAAATCTTAATTACAAAGAAG